GGTTGCACAAACTATTGTGCAAGCATTCTACTACACCTCTCTAGTCCTGTGCCTCTCATTGTTTGTAGGATACTGTGTTTATGTGATACAGTCTTCATATATTGATCTTAATGTAGCTAACACTAAACCTGTAGTTGCAACTTTTCTCAGTATGGCAAAAAAAATGTAGTTTTACTAATTCTGCTGATGGTATAATCACTCTTTCATGTCTGAGCCGATTTTGGTTCATCCTAATGCCCTAGAGTTCCTTATCCAAGTGGCCATTAACTTTGGCATCAAATTTCCTTTCCAATATAATAGTTGTCCCTCCCCAATGTTGTCACCATACCCTAGCCATGTTTGGTAATGCCTAGGTTTCTTATCTTCCTAATTAGTCGTTCTGTTCATTATCTCTTTCTCTTCAAAATGGTGTGCGCGCCAGGGCCAAGTTACTTTCCTCAAGCTTCTGCTTTTATCCCAACAGTCTCACGCTCAAAACCCACCAGTTAAATTGCTGTCAGTTACATGTAGAGCAGAGCTCTTACCATAGACAGGGTTTTAAAATGGAAGCTGCTTCCATACTTACCAAAGAGATTAATTTAGATGAATTGGCCAGAAAGCCTGTTGTAATTTGATGGCAAGTCTGAACTGTAGGATATTTTCTAAACAGACAATGTACATTTTTAGGCAGGATGATTTTCAGCCTCAAGCAAGATTTGCAAAACCAAAGGTACCGCGCTTGTTATGAATTAACTTCTCTCCCATCCATCTGCTGTCACTTATATATACTATACTTCAAAGAATTCAGAATTGTCATTGTTTCCGGTAGGACTCCATTTCTCATGGAACCGCTGATGAAAAAGATTGCTAGAGTAACTGTAATTACTGATGAAGTGTTACAAGAAGTGATTGTGGGGCTACCTTAATGACTGAGAAAAACAAAATGAGACAGACCAGAAATAAACACCATTTATAATTAGCAATGGCCATTTGCATATAAACAGTAACTGTTGCCAAATTCAAATTCCATCTCATGAAGAGAGTAAAAGCAATTATAAATTCACGAGCAGGGTACAGAGGTCTTGGGGCATCTGTGAGTGTGTATGCATATGTGTGTGTATGTGTGTGTGTGTGTGCTACATATGATGGCTGGCGTTTCCATACCTCTGAAACTAAACTCCCTCTGTGTTAGAGTATCTAAATTGTGCTTTTATTGTTTTGTAGACTGGAGTTTATTATCTTTGTAGTCAGGCTGATTTCCTGAAATTGAAAATGATTTGGATTTAAATTAATAGAGTTTTAGTGTATGTAATTTGTAAGAAGGTTTATGCTACTACATAATTCATTTCCCTATATAACTGTTAAGATATAATATAGCATCTATTAGAATAATTTTTTTGATAGGGTAATATAAAAGCTTCTTCTTTTGGTGTATATGGGGGTGAGAGGCTGCTGGAGAACAAAGTCAGGGCTTAATGAATGTTAGGCAGGTTCTCTGACACTGAGCTGCACCAAAACCTCAGGAAAAAAATATTTTGACGGAGGAAAAGATATAATCGATTACTTTATTCTGACATTTTAATTAAAAATTTAAAACACTAAAATATCAAAAGCTAGGGAGACAGGAGAAATGGCTCAAAAGGGAGGACCATACCGTGCCATCATGAGGATCTGAGTTCAGATCCCAGCACTCGCGTAAAGACAGGAAAGGCCTCATGTGTCTCTAACCACAATAGTGTGGGTGTTGAGACAGGGAAATTAGAGACCCTGTCTCAAGTGTATAAGGCCAGGAGTGACAGACCAGAACACAGGGTGTTGGTGTCCTCCTCTGACCTCCGTAAGTACACAGGACATCATCTGTGTACACGTATGCACACATCCACTCATGGTGGGGTGGGGGTCTGAGTCTCTATTTGGATAGTATTTGGCTCCTAAAGTGGCAGAAAACCGTGACATCCAGTAGACTTTAAGGCACTGACATTTTAATGCTGTCTTCACGTAAAGCTGCTGGAGAAAAACATTCAAAACCACCAGTGTGCTTCAGCTTTGGGGGACCTGATCTTCTTGGGGTGCTCCTGGCCTCTATCCAATGTCCAAAGATCACCAGACAGTCCAAAATGACAGCAAAATGACTCGAGGCTATCTCTTTCATATTCAGAAAATAAAAATAAGCCAATACAAATGATATTCCCTCACCCTCACCCCCAAATACAATAACAAGACACGCTAAAATTTTGCTGCCAGAACCATTAGGTCACGTGGTCTCTGTCTCGCTCACTCTCCACTGGCTTAACAGTCTTTCACGACCAAGAAAGGAAGAAATGGATGCCGAGAGACAGTGCCTAGACTCAGACACCAGATATAGTGTCCTCTATGTCTCCAACTGTGAACTAATAGACCATAGCCTCTGTATTCCTGTGTCATCAGAGAAGGTAGGAAGACTTATTTTAGCCAATCGTATCCAGTTACAGAAAGTTACAGTTTAAATATAGTTAATTGGCTGTTGTTTTTTAAACCAGAATGTAAAGATGCTAAACTAGCTCTTGCCTGCTGGAACTGCTGCATTGTGTATCAAGATTCATTTTCATTGTCCATGACTCATGCCGATGATGAAGTTTTGCAGACAGAACAACCACCCCATCCCGCAAAGCCCTTCGGTAGTCCAGCCATGTTCCGCCTCCCCACATCTTCCTTTTTCCCACTCGCTTTCCCAACCGGCTTGTCCACACTCCAGAGTGGGCTTTGCTGTGGCCCACGTGACAGGAAACGCAGCAAGAGGAAAAGTAATTTAGGAATAAACAAACTTAACCCCAAAGGGACTTCAAGGATAAACAACATTAGCATTCCCAGCTGAGTCCTGTGCTTCGGAAAGAAGGTCTTCATTTTGTGCAGAGGACTTCTCTGCGACAGTGGGATCCGCGGGATGGCGGGAGTGGAGCGGAAACGCTGTTGCAGTTAGATTGCAACTCGAGACCGCCTGGCTCAGGGTCTCTTCGTGGGAAATTCAGACTGGGTGTTTAAGGATCACAATTACCCACTCTTAGATAATTTTCACTCTGTGACATTGTCCAACCTAGTTGACAAATGATTGCTTTTATTATCGTGGGGTCTAGGAGGGTCACTCCTCTCTGATGCTGCTTAGTTTTCTGGAAAGGGTTTGTCCTGAAGTATGGGATACCATGGGGTTCACCATGAATCCATTTGAGGGACATCATCTAGCTGTGGCCCAATTTTGTCTTATTTACTTTAGTCTGATTTGTTAGGTGCCTGGGTAGCCCCTTTTTTGTTGATGGAACTTCATCTATTCCTGGCCTTGGCAACTCTCATTTTTTCCAGAATTTCTTTTTTTTTTTTTAAACCCAGAAGACAAAAGATGCCCAGCACTAAAATTACTTCACTTCATTTTGGTATTTATTCATTTATTTTAATCTTCATCATCTATATTCAATATATAAGAACTGGGTTACACAACAATACCTTCATACAAGGTTATACTATACATTGAACATATTCACCTCTTTCCCATAGCCCCCTAACCTCCTTTTTCTGAGATTTTTAGGGGACTCTTTGGGCAGGTTGGATTTCTCAATTATGCTCTAATCTAATCCGGTCTTACTAATTAAGCCATTTTTACTAAAGGAAGCGGACACTGTCCCCCCCCACTCCACTGCATTTTCTTGTGCTATTTCTGTTTGGAAGATTTTGCCCTCCACTTCTCGGGTAGAAATGCTTACTCATAATCTCTTGATCGTGGCTAAGGCCTCAGACAGAGCTGAGCTCTCTTCTCAAGTTCTGAGCTCTGCAGTTACCCAATAGTCTGTAATTACAGACATTTAGACTTTGAAAATTCAGTGTTTCCCCATTTCCATTTGTAGGAGGCAGATTTAAAGAGATTTACATGAAGAGACAAAAAATCCATTGTATTTTTAACTCAAATGCTGCAGATAGCATCCTTGTGTTTTGGGGAGGCTCTCTTTGGTCATCCTCTCCTCCGGAGAGTCTCCATTAGGGGCCAGTGCACTAGCTCTCAATCTGTGGGTCACGACCCCTTTGTGGGTTGAAGAATCCTCTCACAGGGGTCGCCTAAGACTATTGGAAAACAGATATTTGCGTTACAATTTACAACAGTAGCAAAATTACAGTTATGAGCTAGCAAGGAAAATAATTTACGGTGGGGGAGGGGGTCAGCACAACGTGAGGAACTGTATAAAAGGTCTCAGCATCAGGAAGGTTGAGAACACTGGTCTGGTGGTTCTTAGCACCTCCGGACATCGACAGTGGAGGAGAAGGACGGGCTTTGAGATTTGAGGAGTTAGCAAGGGCCTTCACCATTAATGAATTCAAAAGGTTGCATAGGGAAGCCATGTGCAGGGGCAGAAAAAGAGAAAACACGCCCCAAATTTAGGGCATCTGAGTCCACCAGTTGGAGGACTTTGGCTATGCTGAAATCTACTGAGAGATTTGTGTCAAGAAGGAAGAGATGCTGGGGTGTACACGAGTGTGTGTCTACACATGTGTGCATCTGTCTCATGGCCATATCTAGAAAACTGAGCACAGCAGGAGGGTCAGGGCTGGGAGAAGAAAAAATAAACCAGTTATTTTGCGACAAACATCTAATAAGTGTCGCTGATTTCTCCTGGGTAAAAATGTTATCTCTTTGAGTGAGGCTAAAAGTCTAATGGGTTGAAGTCCCCTTTTGCACACACTTAATGGACATAGATGAGTACACAGTCTAATTAAATTAAACTTCGCTGCTAATTTTTTTTTGGTGTTGTCATTACAAATCTATAGTCTTTATGCTTCTAACATGAAAACGGTTTTTCACTGAGCAAATCTGAAAAAAAATGTCTTCACTGAAGAATTTATCTTCCTACTTCAGGGTCTGAGTTTTCTGTTTCCCCTTTTAATACTTAATTATTTTAGTTAAAAATCAAGGGGAGAGCTACTTCAATGAAATAATTAAGACAGAAAGATAAAAAAGCTGCTCTCCCTTTCGCGGATGTGGGTCTGCAAATCCTATGAACTGTAAATGTCTTTTGGTTTTGAAAGTCGCTTTCCATCTAGTTACAAATTGAAGAAGTGACTCAACTCGGTAGAATTTCCCTAATTCGGAATGCCTTGATTTTTTTGCCACTGCCTATGGAAAACTCTTTCTTAAGGGCAGGCAAAGATAGCTTGTAGCAAACCTCCACAGGAGGGCACTATAGTGTGATTGGTTCAAGCTGCGGCAGCTGAGAGCTGAGGCCCATTCTGTCCTTACCCGGGTTTGGATGAAGAGTCTCAAAGAGACTGTGTGCATTTCCTGAGCTGGAAAATTCTATGTAGTCAAAACTCAGGATGGTAGGTTTCATGGGAGTTGGTGTTTCCTCTATCGGATAAAAACGACTGTAAGTAATTTAATTCTTTCTTTGGAGGCATGTAGTCATGGCAAATTTTATCTTCAAACACAGGCAAATGGGTAAGACGCATTTGAAAGAAGCAAAAGCAAAAGCTAAGTAGGTCAAAATTACAGCATGCTTTAAAAATGGCTGGGATGTTTTAGAGCTGGCGAGCTAATCAATCAAAGCCGAAGACAGTGCCCTAAAGTGCACTTATTATTTGTGATTGGGATATGTTTGTAAGTTGTTTGCATAGACCACATTATTTTCAAATATCCACGTTACTTATAATGACATGTTTAGCTAACTAGACAGTGGATAGATGAATCAGTCTTAGCAAACGTAGAAACAGAATCGAAACATAAATTCTACAGTGGAACTCTCTATTGTCATAAAGCTTCTGGAAACATTGTCTGCCACAGTGTTTATGGTGAATATTTGGCCGAATGTAGAATTACAAAAAAAAAAAAAAAAAAAAAAAACAGAAAAAAAAGTCCCTTTCTCCAACTCACAGCTCAGTAGTATGTTTTCAAGCCATTCTCCAAGAGATAAAAATGTTAATATTTTACTAGATTTAAATCAATATAAAAGTAATTATGATCTTGGCCGTTGCCATGCATCTTTGTGAGCCTGGCCTTATTATCCTGAAGACTAGCAGAGCCTTCTAAGACCAAGCCAGCTGCACTGAATGGACAGTTTCATTAAACTTGAAAAGTAACAGGCCTGGTGGATATCGATATAGATTATATGGTTCCAATAACTGTTTATATAACATACATATTTCCAGTAAGAAAGCTATTCATCTCATTATAGTTTTTTTCTTTTTCTTTTTTTTTTTTTTTTTTTTTTTTTTTTTTTTGCTCAAAATGTCATGCGGGCTAATCCTAACAATAGAAGGGAAATGGGGGAGGGCTTGGGTATTTTGAGAACCTCTGTGGTGGGAAAACATGCTGGTAGCTTTGATAGTCTAGGAATTTGTAGTTGAAACAAAATAATGTAAGCGCAGTACAAATCTGACAGCTTTCCGAGCCTGCATTCCAAATCAGAAACCGATGACATCAAGATTTCATACAAATGAGCCTGGAGAAATGTCTCCGTGAGTCAAAGCACAGCCATCCACAGCCTGAGTTCAACCCCAAAACACAGGGAAGGCAGAACTGATCAAAAAACTGTCCTGTGACCTGCACACACGCACACACACACACGCACGCACGCACGCACGCGCGCACACACACACACACACACACACTATTTTTAATTAAAATATCATACTGATGAAAACACTTGCTTAAGTAGAGGTATGCTTGTGATGGTTCACACCTGGTTTGAATAATTAAATTTGTTAGTAATTAAAATGCTAGTTCATTGCCTTCCCAGGGAATCTAGACACACTGTCTAAATTTAAACATCTTTACTTTTAGCTTCCACTGACAGACCTTTATGGCAATAAATAATTCAGAGGGTAGATTTAAAAATACAAAAAGACTTGGATATGTGCTTACACATGATAGCATTTAAACATTTTGTCGTGTAAATTTGGCAACTGTTATACAGTCAGATACTTTGACAATGCAGCCACACTTAACCAGTTTTCTTTGCTTATTTTAGAGGCTTATTCTATTTTCTATCTTATAATATTTTATTATTATACAATGATGGGGATTAAACCCATTTTAATTACCAACAAATGGCAAGTGATCTACCACTCCCTCATGTCTTCAGGCCTGCCATCCAGAATCCAGTTCACTGGAGCCTTTATACTATGAGACATTTTATTGCTTCAAAATCTTAATATATTCATTACTATCAAATGCTTTGATATCAGGAAGTCTAATGAACCCAACTTCTAAGACAGCTTCCACTAGAGTTTATCGCATCGTGAGATATCAAAATACTGTTTGCACACAAAAATGTTTTCTTGATGAGATTTTATTTTGGCTTACCTTTTTCCTCCTGTTTATCCTTTCTTCTTTTCTTTTAAAATTTTATCATTGTTATTATTGGTGTGTGTGTGTGTATGTGCATGTGCGTGTGTGTGTGCATGTGTAGAGGGTAGCACTAAGCCTGAGAACTGCACTATTCTATGAATTTAAGCATAAATACCAAAAAGGTAGTTTGAAGACATGTCCATTTAACACACATGCAGACAGATGTTTCTTTCCCACCCACCAGTTCCCAAATGACCGACAAGAAGACTTAATATTAATTACAAATGCTTCGCCAACAGATCAGGATTGTTACTAGCTAATACTTATATTTAAATTAATCCATATTTCTTGTCTATGCTCTGCCACATGACTGGTACTTTTTCTCAGTACACCATACCTATCTAGCCTAGTTTCTCCCTGCATCTGCTGGCAGCTTCTCTGACTCCACCCTTCTTCTTCCCATCATTCTCAGTTTGGCTCTCCTGCCTAACTTTATCCTGTTCCGTTATTGGCCACTCAGCTTTTTTTACTAAACCAATTATAGTGACATATATTCACACAGTATGAAGGAATATTCCACATACAGAGACAGAAATAGCAATCCCCTCCTTCCTGCGCCTGTGACTTTCTAAACCTTGAGTTTAGTTCATGTTTACAGGACCAAGTATGACTTCCCTTCTGTCAAGCAGGCCTCAAATCCAATCCCAAAGTGGTTGGTGACCCACTAACCTCCATGCCACTATTGCACAAGTGGGCGCATCTCGCCTGGTAGGTCAGTGTTGTAGCATTCAGGATTCACAGCTAGCAATGCCATCAATAACTTTTCTCTCCTGTGTTTTCCTTATTTTTAAACTTGGAAATATTCATTATATATAGTATTGTCCTTCATAAGTACATTTCACACAAGTATATGATATAGTTTGACCATACACCTTATCTTCTTCATTCCCCCAGACCAGTGGTTCTTAACCTGTGAACTGTGACACCTTTAGGGATGTCAAATGACCCTTTCACAGGGAGTGGCCTAGACCATCAGAAAACACAGATATTCACCTTACAATTTATAACAGTAGCAACATTCATTTTGAAACAGCAACAAAAATAATTTTATGGCTGAGGTCACCACAGTATGAGGAGCTGTATAAAAGGGTCACAGTATTAAGAAGGTTGCCCTAGACAGTTTCACGTGTCTTGTTATATCATATGTACATATATGATTTATGTATCAATGTAAAATCTAGGACCCATAAGAGAAGAGATATTTGTCTTTCTGAGTTTGGCTTAACTCCTCAATGTGAGAATGTTAAGCGCATCTCAATACCATCTACCTTTCTGCAAGAGTGGTAATTTCATTTTCCCTTATGGGTGAATGAAATCCCATTGTGTATACACAATTCACTTTTTCTCCTCTACTGAGCACCTGGGTTGGTTCCATACCTTAATGACTGTGACCATTGCTTGACTGAACAGCCCTGTGCAGGTATTTGTGTTATAAGGACACACAGTCCTCTGGTCTTCCTTCCTCCTTTTTTTCCCCCAAAGTAACGGAGATTATTTTTTTCAGAAAAAAAATGTCAAAATGAAGTCAAACGTTCCATTCTTGAGCACTAATTAGAATGTTCCTGTGCAAAGACATTTAATTTCTAAGTTCGACTTACCTAAAACATTCAGTATTTTTGAGGGGCAGTTATTGGTTTTCTCTTAAGATAAGAAAAATCAGAACATCAAACAAGGGATTGGCAAGTCTTAAGAATCTCCATGATACTACATGGTAAGATGAAGAAGTCAGGAAGTTCCTATTCCTGGCTGGTACCTTGGTTTTCTCTTTAGGGGAAGGAAATCGTATTATTAGGCCTTTGTAGCCAGGCTCCACCATCCCCTGCCTCAGTGGTTGATGGAAATTACCCCATGTCCCAATGATGTTGACCTTGGAATTTAAATTAATCTCATATTGGGTCAGCATTTTATATTTGTTTTACTTTTTTTTTATTTCTGGGTAGCTTTAACTTAATCAAAATAATATAAGATGTTCCTGAACAACCACTGAGAACAAACTGTAGGCTAGTGTAGCTTCCTTGCTATGTACCGTCCGGCTCAAGTCTCAAAGTACAGGGTTCTTCACATCGTTCATTTTTCTCAGTTGGGAGAGAGGCGATGTTGGCTGCTTGCTTCTGGCATTTAGAAGTCAAGAGCTAGGTGCTCTTTATGTTACTGTGGTAAAGTCTTAGTTTCTTGTTGTGATAAAAGATGGAAGGAAGGAAAGGAAGGAAGGAAGTGAAGAAAAGCGGAAGGACGCATGGCAGAGAAGCCCAGACTCTGGCCTTGTGAGTCCCAGTCTGCTGCTGGTTTGGATGGTTGAGAACTAGGCAGGACTGGGCAAGCAGCATTGCTCCAGGCTCCTGCCAGCTATGAAGATGAAGCACAGTCTGGTCAAGTCTTCGGGAAAACCCACTTTCTAAAGCACATTTCTTTGTGTCTTTTGTTATGAATTGGCATCATCAGGTTAATTCTGTAAACACATAAAAGGAACCTAGCACTGATCCCTCCTCCACGTAATCTCTAGGGCTCATTACTTGTTTTTTTTTTTCTTTAAAACTATGATATGAATATGGAGATATTATTTGCTTTTGTGAGTTGACAAGGGGAATTGCAAATGGACTTTCTTAAGATGCTGATTCCTATTTCCCCAGAGATCTGCCATTGCCTGGTGACACATGACACCGCTTTGCAGCTCTGACAGGAGAACTGTGGTACTGTCCATATGTTCATATTCAGGAGAAAGGTTTTTATTGCCAAGCATCTGAAAGTTGACATGCCAAGTATTAAAGGCACGCACATAAACACAGGTAAGAACTAGCATTGTATAAAACAAGCAAGAAACATAGAAAAGACAGTCGTAGTCAAAAGGATTTCTAGCGCATTAAGGAATTAAGCAAAGACTTAATTCTTAATTCACCATAGAAAAGACTTTCAAAGAATCAGAAAGGTAACTCCCCCTGATTTTTAGAGACACCCAAAATGGTCTTGAAAGCATTTCAAGAGAGTTTCACAACTGTATTTAGTCCTTGAACTATATAATCTAAAAACACTGATGTTGGTGATTTTAAGGCTCTAGCAATACAATTTAGAAGTGAGTCTGTAACAGATATTAATGTAAATGATGCATGCAGACATTGAACAAACACTCTGCTGGCCTGCTATTAATGTGTTCCATAATTACACTGTGACTTAAATAGTTTCTATGGAGAGACAAATGCGAAGCAGGGAGAAGTGTTCCTGCATCAGCATTCAGAATTCAGATGGTGAATTATTTCATCCCTGCAGATATTTTCAAATATCACTGGGTAGGCACTCAAAATTATTTTAGATTTTTTTTTTAAATTGAGTCATTCTGATCATCTGAAAAAGAAATCAGAAAATGTTCTTGCTTAACAAAGAGGAACATTGTAGAAGACAGACAACAGGGATAGAATGTTAATGGGCAAAAAGAAATTCCAATTTTGCTTGCATTTTAGTTGCATGGAACAAAATCATTTTAAAAACAGCCACTGCTATTTGAAGAGAGTTATGGATGAAACACACATATCTAATTGTTATCATTATTTTGACCAGAGAGATGCTGTGTGCAAGGGTTTGAGCTGTACATTCTGTGAGCCCTAGAACTTTCTGAGGTATGAGATTATTAACCTGAAACAATTTAAATAGCTTTCTCCAGTATTCTGAGAGCTTCACTAAAAATCTCACTATTGTAAAATTTATTCTTGAGATTTATGTAGCAGAAAATTTATGAGTCTTCTTCATTGCAACTAAAGAGCTTTGGAAATTTAAAGTGTTTATAAATTCCAGTTGCATTCACATAGATATTAAAATGATGATATTTCCATTGGTTTCATGAATGCAATCGGTTTGCCTCAATAAATGTTTAATGAGTATTTTCCTATGTTTAGATCTGCAGAAGTGTCAAATAAATAATAAATAGCCCTACCTTTAGGAAGCCTATCATCTAATTGAAGGCAATGAGTCAAAGATCATGCTTTGTTATTTATGTAAGTGCCATTTTCTGTACATAGATTGCTGTTCTCTAGCAGTGTTGGTTTAGACCCACTCTTTGGCTCCAGAGTGGCCCCAGAGAATTCAAACGCTTTCAAGCTGCTTCTGTTGTGTTGACTCTGCACCCATATTTTCATCCCTAATTGTAACCAATGTTGACAGATGGTATTTTTATGTACTGTGTATAATATAGGAATGTATTGGCAATCATTTTATGAACACCAAATATAACATTTGAAGATCTCCTACAAATACTTAAACTCATGTCTTTTCTGGAGGCTGGTAGATAAACATAAAGGTTGTTTATGTGTGTGTATATCCCAAGTAAAGGCCATCAGAGGCCATTCACTACCAAAGAACAGCAAAGTGGACAAAATGGCCCCACCAGCTGACATCAGTGAGCCTTCTCCATCAGCTTACTGGGGGCTTGTGTGATGGGCACTTGAGTGACCATTTGGGCCCCACATGCTCACTCTGATGGATAATCAGTGCTCCAAAGATGCTCCGCAGACAGATTTCAGTTTGTAGTTCATCATCGCTGCATGTCAGAATCTTTCTCTGTCCAATCCAGTTTCTTTCCCCTTCCCTCCACAGCTATTGATTCTGAACTCCATCTTGACATCTGATTATGGGAAACCAAGCTTGCCACATGGAATATTGGTTGAATTTTGTCAGCAAGAGGATTTGTCATCAATATTCAGAGAGATAGACTTCTTCAAATCCTGAAGTTACTTCCTGTTTTCTGAACAGCAGGATACCAACTTGACTGTGACATCTTAGAGACAAGTCGCTTCTAGAATTTGCTTGATATTTTCCTACAAATGTATTGCATTTAAAGATGCTATTTAAAATTCTTAACCCATTGGATTCCTCCCTGTACACTCCTTCCTCACTTCCTTGTTGAAATAAGAAGCGGCGGGGCTGCGTCCCCAACACCCCGGCCGCTTGGCTAGCTCACGCCCGAAATAACAACACACAAACTGTATTCATTTAAGAACTGCTTGGCCCCTGAACTCTAGCCCTTACAGGCTAATTCTCGCACCTGGACTAGCCCATTTCTAATGATGTGTGTAAGCACCCCAAGGTGCGCTTACCGGGAAGATTCTAGCCTACATCCATCTTCATCGTGTGTGCCTCAGAGAGCAGAGCTATCGCGTCTACCCGGGAGAGCTGAGCATGGCGTCTGTGCTCCCGAGCTGTCGGCTCTCTCCCTGGAAGCAGAGCAGAGTCTGACCTCACTTCCTCTTCCGCCCAGAATTCTATTCTGTTTACTCCTCCCATCTATGTTCCAAGCCATGAGGCCAAGCAGCTGGTTTATTATAACTTAACCAATGAAATCAACAGATTGATATATGACACTCCCACATCACTTCCTCCTTTCTGTCTTCTCTCCCTTCTGCTTCCCCCTTTTCTCTTCCTATTTCTACCTTTGCCTTTTGGTTGTGGATCCTTCTATGATGGGTGCTTTGCCACTGAAGCCCAGTATCTTTACTAGGCTAGACTATGTCCTGCAGTTTGTCATTCTTTGCTCTTTTCCAGAATGATCGTTCCCTTTGTTCCATAAAGGTTGTCTTCAGGCACTTTGGAAATATTATTTCAATATGTTTGGGTGGCTTGTTGCCAATCCTTTCTTCCCAGTATTTGGAGATAGTGGGACTTCTGCATGCTATGTCTCCATCAAAAACCTGGGACCTTTGTCTGTCTTTTCCTTCTCATTTATTGTGTAGTTTTCTGGAATTTGTTCTGCACATCACAGGTTGGTTTTCCCGTACTGCTGCTTTAAACTCTTTATCATCTTAGATATTTTAAAACCTTTTAATGTCACTGCCTAACCCTTTTTGTTACGTCATTTCTCTTTCCATTACATTTTATTTCTATGTCATAGATATTCCCCTTAATTTATTTGGGTATTCAAAATACATATAGGTTAAAATTCTTCCTTTAGAATAAATCTTCATCTACCTCAACTGTGTCTACTCATTCTTCCCCTCCCTTCTCCTTCCCTTTCTCTCCCCCTCTCTCCATCTCTCCCTCCTCTTCCTTCATTACTTTCTCTCTTCTTATCTCCACTTTACTTTTATCTTTTATTTCCTTCTTCCCAGCTTTGGTTCTGCTATCACATCTAATTTAAAAACCACTACTTATTTTTAATGAAGTGACCTCCTAAATTCTATATGAAGAAACTCAGGGCTGTATACCATGAAATAGAACTAATTCTTTAGCCTCTAACTTTTGGAGTTTCGAAAGTTTTTGAGAAAATGGTAGAAGGAAGGCTTGCCTACTAAGTTACTGTGTTCTTGAAGTATGGCTGCTTTCAATGGAAAGACCAGACCAGAAACAGCAAGCGTTCTTTATAGAAGCCACTCCCAACTACCTGTCAGTCTTGTCATCAGGAGTGGGAGAGCTAAGAACTTTCCCCAGTTCATCCAGGAAAGGCACTGCTTGGATTTTCTGTTGCATCCCTTGCAACGCTGCTATAGAGATGTATACTTTGCATTGGTATGGATCTTGGTCTACTGATACAAATTTAATGTCAATTTTGTTATATGTATATTTCGTCTCTTAATTAAGGTGTTATTTTTGAAGAGCTCATTTAAAAATGTAATGTATAATTAAGAAATATAGGCTAATAGATAGTCATCTATAATAGTCAAGCTTGTAGTCATGTTAGTTGGGTTTTCTAGATGTACAGAGATATATTTCAGATGGATAGTTATCCTTCAAACCTTTCAAAGACTACAGAATATGGCATTTAAAATGTATTAAGAACTTAGGGCTTTTCATGACAATGAGACTCATCTGCTCCTGGCAGCACCAATCTACTTCAAGAGGAAAATGAGCACCTAAGAGGCTCCTTATGGGGCTTGTTAGCCATTTGGGTAAGAAAGAGTTCTTCCTGAACTGCTTGATGGTGTGCTGTATGAACTGGATATGCAAGACCCACAGAAAAATGACCACTGAACTTGCCTAAAGGTGAGACCATCCTTCAGGGTTCCTGTTACACAAAAGAGACTGCCAGACATTCCGCAGGACACAGAAGAAAGCAACTGATGGGCTTTGACATTACAAGGGAGAACAGATCTTCAAATTTCCTGCTTCATGGAAAAGTTTGTTGGATATTACAGGCCTGTAGCTGAAAATGGATGCCAGAATATAACAGAAGAACTTTGGGTGACTGTCCAGGTAGTGAGATGTCTCTGTCAATTCTAGAGTTTTGGAAGTTGCTTAAAATGTACTTCCTGTTAACTTAGATAATATTATATCCTTCTGGAGTTTTTGGTGGAGTTGAAAAAAGATAGTTATAATTATAAAAAATAGATTAGATATAAAACTTTAGTCTCACAAAGATTGGAAAGATGATAGAGCATTTTCCTTAATTTGCCAAATGCAAATGGACTAGATATTGTAACTATAATTCTTGCTTGATAACTGTTTTGTTACATAAAATTTTACTATGTTAAAGTTAAAACCTTCCTTTTTATTTAGATAGAAAAGGGGAGGTGATGTGGGATTCCCCTCTGTATGCTGTGAATATGTTTTATTGCCATTGGTTAATAAAGAAGTTGCTTCGGCCAATGGCTTAACAGAATAAAGTCAGATGGAAAATCTGAACAGAGATGTAGAGAGAGAGTAGTCGGAGTCAAAGAGATGCCATGTAGCTGCCAAAGGAGACAGACACCCTGGAACCTTGCTAATAAACCACAAGCCTCATAGTAATACACAGAATAATAGAAATGGGTTAATGTAAGATGTAAGAGCTAGCTAGAAATACGCTTAAGCTATTGGCCAAAACAATGTTGTAACTAATACAGTTTGTGTGTGGTTATTTTGGGTCTGGGTGGCCAGAAAACGAACAAACAGCCTCTACCTACATGACCCCATGTTGTATTCACATCTAGAGAATTTAAGCCTGGTTCTCAGCTCCCTCCCTAAACATGATCTATACAGCTTGGTGTCTGACACCAATTCTTTGGAATTACATCATTGGCTTTACCTTCCTCAGCTGAGGTTGGGAATCAAACAAAGTCATTTTGTAACACACCCTCCCATCATTACTGTCTCGAGAGTAAGACGATAGCTGTCTTACATCATCATTCTGAGATGCGGGAAAACAACGATGAAGTCTGGTGTTTGGTTTACTATACAGAAAATCAGAGTCATGGCAATGCTTCCTCAAACTATGCACTGGAGCAAGTCTCCTCCATTCGTGAGTGCTCCAAAGGTGGGTTTCTATAACCCAGTGGCTTTTTCTAAACCTGTTTTTGAAACACTTTCATGAAATGAAAATTCATCCCTGAGCCTTTCATCTGCCTGTTGTGCTCAGGTTTTTTTTTTTTTTTTTTTTTGTTATTTTTTAAATTTTTGAGACAGGGTTTCTCCATAGCTTTTGGTTCCTGTCCTAGAACTAGCTCTTCTAGACCAGGCTGGCCTCGAACTCACAGAGATCCACCTGCCTCTGCCTCCCGAGTTCTGGGATTAAAGGCGTGCGCCACCACTGCCTGGCATGTGCTCAGCTTTTTATTATGAATTGGAAATCAATTTCTAAGTACCTAAGAGGCGTGGGCAGACATGAATACGTGTCCGTGACAAACACAACCCCGAAGTTTAGTCAAACTTGGTTGTGTGTGACAAAGTTCCTAGTTGTTGAATGTGGAGAAAGAGTCTTGATGCTTTGCACAGTTAATTGGTAAATGCTTAATATTAAATCTGGTTGCCTGAATTCTTTCTAGTGACTTTTTTCCTTTGAGGACTGGAGTAACTATCACCATCTGCCTCCTGACTTCCATTTATGAAAATCACACACACACACACACACACACACACACACACGCTCAGATCTGTTTCTTTCTTTAAAAAAATTATGTTTAATTATGCATTTGGGTGTGTGTCTAAGTGGGGCCATTTGCACTTGAGTGCAGTTGCCTGCAGAGGCCAGAAGAGGGCATCGGATCCCCTGGAGCTGTATAGCTAGAGGTGTTTTTGAATCACCAGATCTGAGTGCTGAGAATAGAACTCTAGTCTCCTCCAGGAGCGGTAAAGGTTCTCAATTGCCAAATCTTTCCCCTTGCTCCTGAACACTAATTCTGTTTAAAAAATAATTTCTTCATGGAAAACTGCTTACTTTTCACAAATAATTCGTAACTTACTTTAAATGTGGCTGCGCAAACATTTTCCCAGTGAACTACTTATATTTATTTTTGTACTGAAGTGGGCAGCCTGACTGGCTGCTGTAAATGCATGTTGCCACAGCCTGCCTTCTGACCCTGACCTCGGAAATTAAAACACATACACAAATCATCATGTTGTGGACGCAAGCACACCCAGATTTTAACCTTTGCTTCATGTCAAAAACAATACTCTCTTTAGGGAAACTCAGGCTGATTCCATGGGAAACAGGCGGGGAGTTTTCATTCCAGCCACGCTTTGGGAAGAACTTTCCGACGTTAAATCTTAGGAAAAAGAGGCCATGAATTTGAAGCGGGGTGGCATGGCCTATGTGGGAGGGCTCACGGGAAGGGAAAGGAAGGGGAGAAATGAAATTAAAATGCAACCTCAAAAATGAATGACAACAAACGAGATTATTCAAAATATTAGCGGGGCGGTATTGGCGCACGCCTTGGACCCCAGCACTCGGGAGCCACAGGCAGGCGGATCTCCGAGTTCCAGGCCAGCCTGGTCTACAGAGTGCTTCCTGGACAGCCAGGGCTACACAGAGAAATCCTGTCTCAAACCCTGCCCCCACACCCAAAACCAAACAAAATATTGAAAACAAATCTCAGTAGAGTCAGTTTCCTTTAGTATCATCTCTCTTCTCACAGACAAGTATGAAAAGGGCTTTGGGCTGTTTGTTGTGCTCAGCCTGAACCATGCTGACCAGCACGGCTAGCTAGCTAGGCCTGATGTATCCTGACTGGAGTTTCCAGTTTCTCCACCACAGACGTGATGAGCACGCTCAGTTGCTCCCCTGTAGCTGGGTGGAAAGGTCGGTGCTCCCTTCTGGCCTCCAGCTCTTTGGTTTATGAAGTCATTGATTTCCACCATCTCCAAGCTGAGCTGGAAAGTTCTGGGGTAACCTGTCTAAATGCTGTCCTGGAAAGGTCACGTCCACTCCCAACTCCTCTAACAAAATCGTACTGTGCTGTGGCGCATGCGCATGGATTCATCCCTTTCCTAACCTTTTAGCTTTGTTTCACAGACTTTAAGTTAGGCTGTTAATCCCCTAAATATTTGACTTTATTTTTCTTTCCAAACAAGTCTACAGAGTTCTCTCGTGCCAAGTTCCAGATTATGTCCCCACCCCCACCCTTTTGACTGTCTCCATAGTCATCAGTTACAGCAGAGAACACGCCACAGGTTTAGTGCTATGTGAAAGCGTCAGAAATTTGATTTGTTTTCTCTAAGAATACTATACAATTGCCTCTATATAAAGCATTTTATTTTTAAGCCCAAGTTACCATTTCGAATGGGTGTTTAAAGATTTTAACATTATGAAAATGAAAGTAAACTGAATCCCGCAAATTTCTAATAGGCATAAAATTGATGTGTTTTTCAAAGATGGACTCCATGATCTAGATGGTTCCGGATGATGTGGAAAGGGTAGGTTCTAATTCAGAGGGAAGATGCCCCTGTCTTCTGAAGTCCTACCTGTGTGTGTTCCTGGAGCCTGGGTTTCCTCCCCACAGAGCTGGCGCACATCAAAATTTCCTGTCTTGGAGCTTGTCAGAGTCTACGGGACAATTTTTTTCTTGCTCTTTTGTTGTCTTTGGATTTGATTCTTTGGTTATTTTCTTTTCCTTCCAAACCTCAGAGGCAGGTAAATGCTCTAACTGAGCCTGACCATAGTTAAGAGCTCAGTAAGTGGCTATATTGTGCTATTTTCCTTATTAAGTGTGGCTTTTCAGCTCCAATATGTGCCTGGCAAATACTTAGGATTATTTTGTGTATCTGTAGCTAAAAAATATGGTTGAGTATAAAAGAGATACCAGCGAGCAAAATAACCTTGAGAGAAACCGTGTTTTGACCTTTCAGAAAGTTTGGGTTTTAGTAAGCATCCTGTATGCAGGGCTGTCATCTGTCAGTCCTAAACTAATTCCTCTGAGTCTATAATGGGAACTTCTTAGGTTGCTTACTTGAAGTTGAGGTTATTTAAAATAGAGGAGATGGGATGTACACACATAACTTATGGTTGAAAGCCGTAAGCTGTCGCGTCCACCCTTGTCCCGCAAGGAAGAACGCAACACCCGGAGCTCTTCTTGCAGCAGTTTTCAGGACTTTATTCACAATAATCTTTCTCCTTCTCCTTCTCTCTTTCCCTCTCTTTCCTCTCTCTCTCTCTCTCTCTTTGACCTCTCTCTCAGGGCAAACCTCTCCCAGCCCTTAAGTAGGCATGGGCTGCCAACCCCGAACTGCCAGGTGGGCACTGCCCATAGGTTCATGCATATGCAGGCTGCTGATAATCATTGCGTGATCATAGCATAGGTCAGGCCTTAGCCATCTCAGGAGTTGATTATACATCTCCATCAGGTGTGACACCACGCAGCTGGCTACAGTAAGCCCCACCCCCACTTCCAAAATAGAGACAAACTGAAGGCCCCTGGGTGGCAGTGTGTGTGTGTGTGTGTGTGTGTGTGTGTGTATTACCTTCTGAAGGCTACGATGCCATCTTCTAGAAGCCTAAGTATTTTATCATAATGTTGAAATATATAATTTACATGGAAAGAATATTTCCTTATATTGTGAGCTAAAGGTCCAAATTCATTATTTTCCTTGTGAAATATTCCCTAGACTCTTAATCATTTATTTAAAATAATTGAAACTAATATTGAGAATAATGACTCCTTTCTCTCTAAATATAATGTCATATAGTAAATGACTATGTAAGTGTGGGTTTTTCCCTTTCATTTCCTTCCAGCACTATGCCTATATTTATCCCAGGATGAATTAATCAATGTTCTGAAACCACTATAAAATTCTCACTCCTGGAATAGTGATATAAAGTTTCTAGTTTAAATCTTCAACATTGCTTTATCCATTTTTTGTCTTTCTTAAATTATTTTATTTTCTTATCTTTATTTATTTCTATTTTAATGATGTGCATGTGGGGTTGGGGGACTGTGTCACGTGAGAACAGCTGCCCATGGAAGTCAGAAGAAGACACCGAGTCCCTGGAACTGGAGGTACAGGACAAAGGTGGGTGCTGGGACCTGAACGCGGGTCCTCTGCAGGAGTAGCACTTACTCTGAAGCACAGATCCACCTCCCAGGCCGTCCTTCCATTTCATCACACGCTTAGAAATCCGAGTTCCAAGTGCAGACTCGATTTTGCTCTCCATAGTCTGTAGTCTCCGTGTACATATGACTCAGATACTTGCAGTTTGTCGTTTTATGCTTTGTATGCGAGTCTAATGCTGTTTTATTGTTCTATTTTCTAGTTGCTTCTGCCTGGCGTATAAAAAGGTTACTCCATATCTTTGCCATGTGATGAATTATCTGACAAATTATTTTACATTCTCCTTTCCATTCCACACACATTCAGTGGCATATCCTGTGACAGGACCGTCTGATCCCACGTTTCTGCTTTCTGCTCCCTGGCTCACTCCTTCTGTTCCTCAGAGCTGGATGGAGCCGCCCGCATGGAGACAACAGAACAGCTTCTGTAGAAAAGACAGCCTCTCTCCAGCTCTCAGGAGGCTAGGCTTCAGAAATAGACCGTTGGTGATAAGGCTTCATGTGGGGTTTGTAGTGACTTTTAAAGTCTAGCTATATAGTAAGGCATTCCTCCCCCACCCCACCCCATTCTCGGTTCACTAACAGATTTTATAATAACTGGGTGTGAGATTCATGGGACAACTGCTCTGCATCTCCTGAGAAAAATGACACAGTCCCTCGTTATTCACTGTTCCCCTTTGTAGTCCAGAAAGACGCTTCCTGTGGCACAGGCACCATCACGTCCTACACTCTGGGCTTTGGTCTGTTAATATTCTGTTTCTGATTATTTTTTATGCATGTTCATAGGAGAGCTTAGAGAGTTTTTCTTTCTTACATTGTCCTGGTCAGGCTTGGCCAGTAGTCATTGTGATCTCTTTCTACATACGCTGAAGGTAATCCACAATTTATTTCATTTCTTTCCTAATTATTAATATTATAAT